TAATGTTTAATTTTAACCGACTTCAAAAAGGGAGGAGGTTATCAATTCGGTGAATTTTTAATGTTTTTTACCTCAGAATTCTACAATTTCTGAACTGATTTAGATATTTTTATTTGAAAGGATATACACAGATTGATCCAATAGACACGATGAAATTTTAATGGTTGTTTTCCCGAAGTAAAATGATTTTGCCTTAGTAGTACAATAGATTTATTAAAATAGAATTATTAGGATGTAAAAATGGCATATTTACAATCGAGAAAAACAAAACTCGAATACGCTCTCAAACCAATAGCAATATCTCGCAAGTAGGTCGGGCGTGCAGGCTAGCTTATACCGAATTACTATAATAAAGTCTGAAAAAAAAATCGGTTGGACGTAATGTAGATTTACGTCTATCGCACGTGCTACCGCGCGCTTCCTACACAGTGAAGGGCCTAATAAATGTTCATAACATAAACTCTCAAGCGTAGTGATATGACATAAACTAGTTTGGACGCCCGAATAGCTTGTGAGGTATTACTATTGTAAATCTGCCCTTTTTTAATTGTAATATTTTTTAATTTAATAAATTGACTCTACTATCAAGACAGTATAATTTGGCTGCGGGACAACAAGCACTAAAATTTCAGCATGTATATACGAATTGATCAAGCTTAGAAATCAGTGTACATACATATTGATAACCTTTCTTTTTTGGAGTCGGTTAAAATAGGCTATGTTTGGGTCTAACGTAACATCTGGTTAATGTTTGGGTGTAAAGTGACATCTGGTTAGTAAAGGCGTTCTTATTAATAATCTCATGATGTTGTAAATAAAAAAGTTTTATTCTATACTCTAAAAGGTAACCTTAGTCATTAAAAAAAGCAATTAAAATAAAATAGTTGCGTTAAAATGGCGTCGGCGAATCGCGATTAGCTGATCACTCCGTATTAGTTTTAAATAGGCACACATTGTTAATATAATGTTAACACTTAGAGAAGTAGGTATCTATATATAAACATTTGAGTTTTACACAGAGCATTGCGATTAAACGTTTAAACACAAATAGAAAATAAATATTTTTAAAAGAAAATTGTGATTTTTCCCCCACAACTAGCAACATTTGTATTATGAGAGCTTAGGTAAGTATTTTTCTTAGTTTTACGTACTTATAATGAATTAAATGTATAAACTTATATGTGAAATGTAATACCATTACTTCTTTTATGTTTATCGTCACCGTTGTGACAATATTTTACAACACAAACGGTAATTTTTACAATTTTTCGCGAGCTCTTCTCCGTAAGGCGTGACGTTGCGCACTGACGCGTCGCTGAGTCAACTAACGCGGTTCCGCGTTAGTTTTACTTGCTTCACTTTCGATGCGCGTACTAGTATTCTATGCGTAATAATTCTATGTTTGCTGGTTTGCTACCATATTGTATTCTTTGTTTGCTATCAAAAAGTAATAAAGTATACAACCACAGTCTATTCCTACAGTCAATGCTATGTCTACAATTTTAAAATATTATAAAGATTTCACTACATACATATTTATTTCTTTTAATTATTCATTGTTTTATAACCATATATTAGATTTATTATAACTGTAGGTATGAATTTGTTAGTAATATGCATTATAGTCATAAATAATATGTTTTTTTTTATAGGTATAGGAGTTTATGGCCTGGTATCTAGACCTTTAGGCCAAGTCTTGAGTATTTTTATTCGGTTTATTATAAATAATTATCCTTCATAGTTCACTGCTTCACAATATGTTGATGCGTCACATTGTGCAGCCCTTGAGAGATTTTGACGGCAACTTGAGCCAGCAGACAGCTGATAGTTGGCGATGGTATCTCAAGGCGCCTATGCAAACAAACAGCTTATCTTGAGAATCCATCACCATCAGAGCACTTGTTTCATTGTTTCCACTAATAGTTCACATGCGTAGACAATTAATACACAAAATCGCACCACTTTTACATATCAAAGTCCACTTCAAACCATTATTTAAACAATAATACAGGAGCAGCAAACCGCCGCTGATCAAGTTCCCGCCAAAACTCTAAATAATATGTACTATCATAATTCAATTGTAATATTATGAAGGTACTATATTTATTAGTATTTTTACAAACAGATTTTAAAACATGTATAGATCTCATAAAAAGAAAAGGTAAAAAAATAAAATGTAATACATCAAAAACGAACATGTTTAATTTTCGTTTCCACAATGTATTTTTTTTAGACTGGACCTTCGAATGTGACAAATAAGAGATTATATTCCTCATAAAAATTTAGAACTTTTAAATCGACTGTAGGTTTTGCACAGTTCTGCCTTAAGCTTTGCGCATTCCGTAAGATAAAATACTAACCTCGTGAGAAATCCACACACAAAAACAGTTGGTGCTCATCTATAGCTGTCTCGGATAGTAATTGTTTTCGAACATTGCGAATTTTTGCAGATTCAATTTTAAAATTGCAAATAAATACAAAAAAGCAGCAACGTGACAAACGTCAATGCCACAATCCAAATCCACAAACACTGCACAAACACAAACTATCGTCAATGTCGTATAGTAGTAAATAAATAATAATACAAAATTAATATATTTCATCTATAATACAAAGAAAGGATCCCGGACCCGAAAGGCAATTACCATAGATAAGGTTATTATTCGATATACATCGATACATCGAATTCATTTCACTCGCTGTTTACCATAAGATGTATCGATGTGTTTTCATAAAACATCGAATCAGTGATACTTACATACCAATATTAATATTATAACTTCTAAATCAGTAAAACTAAAACATGCTCTAGTTTAGAAGTTATAATATTAAACCTATTAGAGGCGCTAGTTGGCAGCTGTCAGTCCCTTAAGCGGAATCAAGAATTTTTTTTCAAGAGGTTGGCTGGTTGGCATAACTCTGCTAAAGAAAATAAAAAAAATCGTCTGGGCTATGTCGGTCTTAGACCATTTAACCCAAGGGAATCGCCTCGCATGATTATTTCCCTCTGCCAAGGCATCGGATTTAAAAATCTTGTGCGTTTATAAAACCTGTTTACGCAATCATTTATATCATTACATTACGTTGTTTGTTTGAGTGGGATGTCAGGAGGTTGACTACAGATTTGTAGTCTGAAAAATTACACGATTAGAAAAAACATCGATGTTTCTAACCGATACATCGGAATATGTCGATACACAGTCTCGATGCATTACATCGAAGAAAATCATCGATGTATTTTCAAAGTGGAAACCCCTAACCATAGAGAAATAAATATGTAGGCAATGACAAACTGACAAAATAGGGGTTTTAAGTTTCGTTCCAAGGTCACTTTGAACTATATTTCTAAATTAGCTAATATAAATACATTTAGAAAGATATACCACTGAAAACTTGTACTACTTAATCCTATTAAAACAAGTTTTCAGTGGTATCTCTTTACTAATAAATATATTATATACAAATATAATAAATTGGTATCTTTTATATGTGTAAAACCATTAAGTTAAGTTAAAATTTCTAGTGGGCCCAAAACGATTTTCTTCATAGCTTACAGTTATTTTTGGCTTACTTTAAAGTTTTGATGACCAAGCAAGTTGTTCTAACAATAAAATATTTGAAAACCATTGGAAAGAATATTAGTTTTTAAAGAAATATTAACCTGTATATAGTATACTGATTATTTATTATTATTGATAATTCAACTTACCTTTTGAAACAAACTGTCTTTTCTATTTTTATATTCCAATTTCTCGTCGTATTAATAATTTCATTTAAGTATTATAGTAATATTAATGAATAAATACGAAGAGGATAATTAACCGTATCTAATACTCTAATAGTGTTTATTCAAGAATAATAATGGGTGGGCTTGCTCACAGTGTGACCATCTTTAAAATACAGATCCTGCCTTAGTTTGGTTAAAATCCTGCAAACGTTTATAGTGAAAAATACCTAAATACTGCCATCTTTATTTAACATTGTATAATTGTATTAAACTAAGAAAAGTAAAAATACACATTTAAATGCTATATTTTTATTAATTTTATATATTTATATATTTTTCGTTGGTTTGAATGCAATGCAATCGCCATGCTAATCAATGCCTTGTTTAATACGCAAAATAGAGGCTACATGTTTGTTTATATCTAAATCTGTTTCGTGTTTTTGCACTAATTAAATTTATTTGAAGGAATATTTTTTTAGGGAAGAGGGGGCAAACGAGCATGCAGCTCACCTGATGGTAAGTGACTACCGCCGCCCATGAACAACCGCTTTACCAGGGGAATCACAGGTGCGTTGCCGGCCTTTTAGAAAGGTGTAAGCTCTTTTCTTGAAGGTCCCTAAATCGTATCGGTCCGGAAAAATCGTATACATTACATGCGTAATTCTTATTGAAAGTCATTTTTTACTTTACCACTGGTTCGAAAAAACCTCTGTCCTGGGAAGAACCAGCAAGAAACCCAGGGGGGCTTTTTTTAATAAATTTTACAATACAAAATGATTACAAAATATTTACAAAATTTATTTTAGAAACTGCTTGGAAGCGACCATCTCATTCCCAGGGTTTATTATCAACCATGTATTCATTTATACTATAATAACCCTTTTTTTAAAATCGATGTTTCACTTTCGAAAATATCGAGGTTCTAATATCGCTTTTTTATGAGCGATGTTGCATCCCTACCGCCATACCAATATTTTTAAGATACGGTGTCTATCTGCTTAGACGCCTTGAGATAATATTGCCAACTATCTGCTGGCTTAAGTTGCCGTCGAAATTGCTAAAGGGCTGCGCAATGTGACGCTCAACATATTGTAAAGCAGTGTAGTATTATAAAGGATTATAATTATTTAATGCTGAGATAAATGAAAACATGGCTTAAGTGACAAGCATCCAAGCCAAAAATATTGAAAATAAATAAATGAAACATGGCTTAAAAGACAAGCATTCAAGTCAACAATCTTTAAAAAAAATAAAAAATTCCACCAAAATTAATAAAATCTTTTGTAGAATCGGAAAAGTGAACAAGCAAAAATTTTAGATCTTGAAGAGTATGAAATAATTGATAGATAGAAATAATTTTTAGTGTTATAAGGAAACAATTGATAAACAAAATGATATATGACTGTATAAAGTGTTGACGTTTCGTTAATAATTAAATATATGAAGTTAAAAATTTGGTGAGGTTATGTTGACATATGATTCGAGAATATATACACAGTAGCCTCACAGTTCTTACAGTATGTTGAACGTGTACTTGGCGTGAGACACTACAGTGTCTCCGGATTACATTTTAGGTACTTAAATTTACCATCGTATATCATCAATAATTATGTATGTATGTTTCATTTAATTAAAATAACATTGATGATATATTTCGTTGTGTTTTTTTTTTTCTGTAGTAAATTTTATTTAAATAAAAGTATTCAATTCGAAAAGGGTAAGATCAATTTGGTATTATTAATAAGTGTTAATTTTTCTTTTCTTTTATAAAGGCAATGAACCTTAACGTTATATAATAACCTACTTAAAAATTAAAATTGTTCTTTTGAAAGTCAAAATTAATTAATGTTTTGTCGTGTAACATTTAAAGGTATTTTAGTTATTATTCAATTATATTCTGTACACGATATAGTAAATATCATATTTCTAGCATTATTTTTCGATCCAGGTAAAAGTAATGTACCTAACTATCTAAAATTCTGTATATTTAATTTTACTTGTATCCATATATGTGTGTAATAAGACATACATTGTATTAGTTACATAAAAATTAGGTGATCATAATACAATGTAATCGCAAACGTTTTGATATACGTACCTACTTTGGTAATTAAAACAAAGTTATTTAATTTAATTTACTTTTTATTTACAAAATTTATTAACAGCATCAGCAGCTGCATTTAAAAAAGAGGTTGTATTAGCTTCACTACCACCAGCAGACTCATCGTTGCGCAAACACACAAAACGTGTATATTATCAAATTCAAATATGGTGGGGCAGTACTTTGAACCTTGAAGAATAGGGATTGAGAAAACCATTAACTATGATGCTGCCTATGATATCAACTTCAGATTCAGCACCACAGGAACTTATTGAAGAAGTACACTGAGGTTAATATTTATTACTTTCTTTATTATTCCGTTAATATTCACATGTTCGAATATGAATTAATTTTAAGGTTCTATGGTTGCAAAACTAACTGCACATCAGCTAGATGTAGCTGTAAAAAAAGCAGTTTGAAATGTAACCAATTCTGCATAAGTTGCCACGGCCAAAGTTGCGAAAACGCATCAACAACGCAATTAGTTTTGGAAGATGATAATTCATTGAATGATAATGATGATGATGAACGGGAATATTATTGTGAAGAAGAAGCAATCAGGACTGAAATGGCGAGGAGGATTGGTGTTACTGAGAGTCTGTCCTGTGTTACATTGAGATAAGTAGTGTTGCTGTTGGTTTACATATTTCGGTGTTATCATGTAATTACGTACCTCACGTTACTCTGGTGTGTGATTGTGGTGGAGACGTGTTACGGTGGTCGAACTGTAATTGCTCTATACTTAATGTATAGTGCGTTTACGCTGTCTTACTACTGATAATGATTAACTGCGTAAGCATGAGAGCAAGTTGAACACCCGCTCCTGGATATATGCGTACGAAAAACCAGTCACGAGTTTGGGTGTTCAAAAATGAGTTAAAGCCAACAAAAATTGTTTGTTCACGGAGTGTTGCAAAAAAATGGTGGCCATGTTTGTCTCCAAAACCGGCCATTTTACGACTATTCCTCTTGAAAGACAAAGAACGGTTAATGCAGAATGGTATGCTAGCATTTGTTTTCCACAAGTCGTTTCGGAACTCCGTAAAGAAAACTGCAACCGCCGCATCATCCTCCATCACGACAATGCGAGTTCTCACACCGCACACAGAACAAAAGAGTTTTTAGAGCAAGAAAACATAGAATTATTAGACCATCCGCCGTACAGCCCCGACCTAAGCCCTAATGATTTCTATACTTTCCCTAGAATAAAGAAGAAATTGCGTGGACAGAGATTTTCATCACCTGAAGAAGCTGTGGACGTCTACAAAACGGCAATTTTGGAGACCCCAACTTCCGAATGGAATGGTTGCTTCAATGATTGGTTCCATCGTATGGAAAAATGTGTCAAATTTCGCGGAGAATACTTCGAAAAGCAATAAATATATTTTTAAATAGTAATGTTGGGTCACTTCCTTGATTCCCGAAATTTTTAGTGCCGCCTCGTATTGTAAATGAGTTATAGTTTGCATTCAGTGGAAATTTAGCTTGCTAAAGTTATGTTGTAATCTGATACACGAGGTTTGATTTACATGGGCTAGTTTTAAAGTTCAAAAAAAAAGAACATATTTACTTTAACGTGCTATGACTTAAAAACACTAAATAGTATTTTTGTGTTCTAATGTGATGATAAGTGTAACAGTTTACTCCGAGTATTACGTAGTCGACAAAATTGGGATTTCATGTTGAGAGTTTAGTGGAAGGCTGTGGCGCTCACTCTTGAGTGGAAGTATGCCTATCGGCGTGTGATGACGCGGATAAATTATTTGCCGCTTTTAACGATCACCATTTGATACATGGGGAAAGTAAATTTATCTTAAGGTTAACTCTTTAATTAGTTGCGAAAAATTCTGGAAAACCAAAGTATAACTGACGAAGTTGAAGTAGAGCAAATTAGTTTTGGCATTGAAGAGTGTATTTAAGTTTACATGAGGATCGGTTCGTACCAGAGGTTGTCGTGTAGCCGCAGCTCAGTATATGGTGGCCTGGAAAGGCGAATGGTGTCCCGAGAGCTATGGTACATTTTTTTAAAAATTAAGTTCAAACTGAATCTTTTAAATGTTTTTTGATGTATTACAGTAACATGTGTGATATGATTACATGTGTGCGATTGTGAGGAGAGTGTGTACCTTGCTGGTCGTAACGGACAGCCAGGTCCAGCTGTAGCACAGCCTGGTTTCGGCAGAGGCGTATGCGCGCATACCCAGACGTCATCCCGGAGCGCGCATATGTTGTACATGGCGTAGGCTCTGAAGTCTTACACTATGTTTGCGCAGAAGTGTTATACTCTGTATGCTCGGAAGTCGTGTTCGCTGGACATGGATCAGGCTCTGTCATGGCAGGCGTTGTCCTGGTTCACGTGGTTAACGTGGGATCTCGCAAGTCCAAGTAAGAGTATGTGGGAGATACTTCGTATGGAGATGTATGCTTACTTGTGAAAGCGAAGTGCTTTATTATAGTCCACGGTATGAGAGCGTATTTCTGTTTGAGGACCTCGTATGCGTGATGGATGAGAGGATAGGCAACTGTGTGTGTTATTCTGATAATTAACAACTTGTTTTTCACGCAGATCACGATGACTGCAACCCCGACGATGCCTGTGAACCCTCAGGTGCTCCTACTGATCCCGTTGAGGCTTCGAGTGCGTGGTGCGGCGCGACAACTCGCTGGTGCGAGTGCAGCATGCTCTGTGCTGCGTTCTTTTAGCCACGCGCGTTTGCCACACGGTAGCTAAGTATGGCATGTGCTGGTTTGTTTTAATAGCCACATGCGCTTAGCCTTATGCCTACCGCAATGGCGAGCAGTGAGCGTCGTGTTGACGTTTGATATGTGTGTCGGCGCCGTTACGACAGCACCAACGGTGTTTGCGGGGAGTATGTGAAGTGCGGGGGGTTTCTCACCACCGCGCCTAAGACCGGCACTTGCCGATAGCTCACGACCCGATCGCCACCAAATATTTTGTATTTTTCATTCCTTTTAAATATACAATTTGCCTATCGTGTGAGTCGCCTATTTTATTCATGTTCCCTAATTGAGAATAGTGGCGACCGTGATAAATTAAAATATCGAACTCCGATTTCGCCGCGTAATACGGTCCAAAGATCGTAGCACTTACCCCGCGTTTACAACGTCGCGAACGCAAGTACTACGAGCTACGAGAACAAAGGAAGCCACGCCGATCTACTACATCAGCTAAGAAGATTATTAAATTGGCGTACCATCCCGAGTCCTAAGAACAACAAAGCGGTCAAGAAGAATTCATCTGGAGCGGAGAAAAGACAAGAGGACAGCTATTGAGAACCGGCCAAGCTGAGGTCCAGCGGAGTCTACGCGCCACATCAGCGGTTTTTGCCAACTAAAAGTGAGCCCGTTCCTATTATTTTACCTCTTCGTGTCCCACTATTCCTAAAAATTCTATTTGTGTGAACAGGGAAACAAGGAATCTAGTCCTATTTTTGTTGCCTTACCCTACCTACCTATTCTTAAGCAACATCCTTTATATTCCTTGTCTATCTTATACCCTTTCGTATATAAAACTGCTAATCTAAATAAACTATTCCTACTCAATAATCCTACCAAATAAAATACCTATTAAAACAATCCTAAAAGAATTACCTAGTTAAACCTACCTACAATCTACATACCTAAGGAGTTAAAATCACCTATTTACACCTATTTGCTTGCCTATCAGCTAATTTTCTATTATTTCTTACTATTATTTCGCCGCATCATTTGCTAAGTAATCAGTGCTATTTTTCAAGCCGCCTATAATTTGCATTCATTGCGCCTATTTTACGACTTGAAAGTCTTCACTAGCATTTAATTAGTTAGTAGCCACTGTTAAATAGTTAGAATTTAAATATCTGAACCTATTTCTTTAAACGTAAGCATACACATACTATGTACATAGCTACGCAAAAATTTGAGCTTAACTCCTCGATGCAAGTAAATTCACTTCTCGCTATTCACTGTTAGCTGTTTATGCACGCAAATAAATTAGTCATCACTATAGCATAATCATTCGCTAAGCCCTATATTACGCTAATTAAGCCATTATTTGCACAAATCAATTAAATTTACGATCAACCTTGCTTCCCGTTATTATTTTATGTACGGAGATATCTGCAAAGCATTCCAACAATCAATTTCAGCTACGGTGCAGCGGTCGCTCGAGACTTTCATCGCATCCCGTGTCACTGCCAGCACTGCGGGCTCACGTCGTGGTACTGGACCGCGGGCGTCGCGCGTCATCAATCCCACCTTTCACCGCGCTTCTGCTGATTTTGAACCGGTTTCCGTCACAGCGGCCACGAAGCGAGGAACGTATTGTATGCAATTCTTATTTATTTGATTAGTACAGCGCATAACTAGTTGTTTTGATTGTCTGCGCGTTAACTTTGCTAGTATGGAGGCAAAGTACAAAACTCTTAATTTAAAACGCGCTTCAATTAGAGGCCGTGTTACGAAATTTAATAACCACTTAGAAGAATTAAAAGGTAAAAAGCTTACTCCTACGGAAGTTAGCGTGCTATCGCAGCGATTAGTTAAACTTGAGACTTTATTTGGCGAATTCGATAGCGTGCAAAATCAGATTGAAGCATTGGAGGAAAATAATTTAAGCTTAGAATTGGATACCAGAGAAGTTATCGAACAAGCTTTCCACAATTCGATCGCATTGGCTCAGGAAATTATTTCCGTAAGCAGTACGACAAAAAAGTCGTCGCTTCAGCATAGCAGTATTTACACAGCTGATGAAGATGATCACGAAGTTATCGGCTTTCGTTTACCAGTCATTAAAATTAATAAGTTTGATGGTACGTTCAACAAATGGTTGGAATTTCGTGATACGTTCAGTTCGCTGATACATAATAATACAAAAATAAAAAATATACACAAATTTCATTATTTAAATTCCTATCTAGAAGGTGAAGCTGCTCGTGTAATATGTAATTTAGAAGTTTGCGACAATAATTATCCTGAGGCATGGAGTCTTCTTTGTGAGCGTTTTAATAATATTCGTCAATTAATAAATAATCATTTGAAGTCTTTGTTTAATATTGAGCCGTTGCGTGAGTCTGACAAGTCATTAAGATTTCTAGTAGACCACGTCACAAAAAACCTACGTGCTTTAAATACTTTAAAACAGCCAACTGATCATTGGGATACCCTGATCATATTCATAGTCTCAGCGAAATTAGACAGCAACACGCGTGTTAAATGGGAGGAGTACATTCAAGCTAATGTTAATGCTTCGGATATGCCTAGCCTAGATGATTTCATGACTTTTATTAAGGGCCGCGCTGAAGTTTTAGAGTCTGTTTATCGCAGTAAACAAGACAAAAATATAAAGTCAAACCCGAATCACAATCAAGGCGTCAAACAAAATCCCGTTTCTCATACTAAGTCATTCGTTAGCGCTGAGCAGGGCGACTCATCAGCAACTGCCCCTCACAAGTGTATTTTCTGTGGTCAAGGTCATCGAAATTATGAGTGCTCACAATTTCAATCGAAATCTATTGATGATAGACTTTCATTAGTGTCCGAGCTAAAGTTGTGTCCCAACTGTTTGCGCAAAGGGCATAATACGCGCGCATGCAAGCTTCCAGGTACGTGCAAGATATGCAAAAAACATCACAACACCTTTTTACACAAACCTACGGATTCTGATACCAATGTGGCAGTCACTAATGTTGCAGTCTCTGAGCCAGTTTCAATGTCAGCTGTTTCTGCTTCTGAGACACTACTATGTACGGCTTTGGTTGATATTTTTAATCCCAAAACAATCAATTACATTACCACTAAAGCTCTCTTAGACAACGGTAGTCAGTCTAGCTTTATTACAGAATCACTTAAATCAAAGTTAAATTTAACTTCTTCCACGTCTGATGTTAGGAATGTAGTCGGCATATGTAACACTATTGTCAAGCTTAATGCTGAACGTTGCAATGTTCGAATTCATTCAAAGGTAGGTTCTTTCAGCGTTATGACGTCATGTTTAGTCATACCCCAAATATCAGGTAAGATACCTAAGTCTCTTGTGTCTATTACACACCTTAACCTGAAGTCCTTTGCATTAGCAGACCCCAGCTTTTATGAGCCGTCTGACATAGGACTGCTTATCGGTGCTGACCTATTTTGGTCCATTATTGGAACCAAACAGCACTCTTTAGGTAAAGGAAATCCTATTCTACATGAGTCTAAATTAGGATGGCTTATCGCAGGTCCCATGCATTATATTCAAAATGACAATCTCAATTTAAATTCCCCAGTGAAATGTAATTTTGTAAGTATTGAAAGCAACAATACTTTAGTTGAGCTTCACAATGATTTGAAGAGGTTTTGGGAGCTTGAAAGCTTGCCACAAAGGCCCCTTCTTACAGACCAAGAGAAAGCTTGCGAACAACATTTTTTACAGCACACAAAACGCACTGAAGAAGGTCGTTTTTGTGTCAAGCTGCCATTGATCGACAAACCAGACTGCCTAGGCACTTCCTATTTCATAGCCAGGCGGCGATTTATAAACCTGGAACGTCGCTTTCGCAAGCAACCGGAACTTAAGTCCGCCTATGTTGATTTCATTGAGGAGTATCGCAAACTAGGACATCTAGCAATATCTGAGGTAGACCGACCTGAGCTTGCCTATTTTGTTCCGCATCATCCTGTCATTCGTGAAGACAGTGAGTCAACACGTCTACGCGTCGTTTTTGACGCATCATCTGGTTTGTCTATAAACGACATTCAAATGATAGGCCCTACAGTTCAAGACTCTCTTTTCAATATCCTCATCCGGTTCCGGCAATATCGTTATGTGTTGTCAGCGGATATTGAAAAAATGTACCGGCAGGTTTTAATAGATGAGTCTGACCGAAACCTACAGCTGATTTTATGGCGTGATGCGGAGGACAAACCATTACAAACACTCAGGCTTAACACGGTCACCTACGGATTTGCTAGCGCTAGTTTCCTTGCCACCAGGTGTCTCTGGCAAGTGGGCGAGGAGTGTGACGATGACGTTATTAAGGCAGTCATACAGGAGGACATATATGTTGATGACTTACTAACTTCTAGCGATGATGAAGATCAATTACGGTCTATACAGAAATCAACACATGTGGCTCTTTCTATGGCTGGGTTTGACTTGCGTAAGTACCGATCCAACTTACCTTCTTTACTGCCTTCAGACGTTGTCCAGTCATCCGGCAACCTGACATTGAGTCAGTCTACAAATACGCTGGGCCTAGATTGGAGTCCTTCGACCGACAGCATTAATTTTCCCATTACAGTGGATCAGTCTGACGTCGTCACCAAGCGCACTATACTTTCTTCAACTTTCAAGATCTTCGATCCCTTGGGCCTCCTATCCTTGTCCACTATCGTTCCCAAAATTTTAATTCAGACCTTATGGTCTCTCAAATTGGACTGGGATGTGCCCGCTCCAAAGGATATTGTCGATGTCTGGAGACCTTTTGTTGATGGACTTAAATACCTTTTTTCACTAAATATACCTAGATGGGTATCAATAGAATATCCAGTCTCTGCTGAAATCCACTGTTTTTGCGATGCATCGCAACGCGCCTATGGTGCATGCTTGTACCTTCGCTCTACAAATAAAGAAGGACAAATACATGTCCAACTTTTATGTGCGAAATCTCGCGTTGCCCCAGCATCCAGCCCTATTACAATTCCTCGTTTGGAGCTTTCAGGTGCTCTTCTGGCAGCTGAAATGAGCTCATCTGTGACCAAGGCCTTGCGACGTAAAATATCGCGTCATGTCTATTGGACTGACTCGAGCGTAGTTCTTAGTTGGTTGCGCTGCGGTTCTTCTAACTTGAAAGCATTCGTTGCCAACAGAGTCGCCGCCATTAGAGAGCTGACTGACGCAAATTCATGGCACCACGTTCCTACAGAACACAACCCAGCTGACCTGCTATCCCGTGGCGTGAACCCACAACAGATCGCTGCATGTGATATGTGGTGGTATGGACCTAAGTTTTTATCGTTGCCAGAGTCCGAGTGGCCTTCTATGCAGTCGCAGACTATTATTGAGATGAAGAATTTGCCGGAAGTTAAAGCACATCCAGTTGCTATTTGTGATAATTATCAATCAATTATTAACTTTAACAAATATTCTAAATTAAAACAATTACAACACATTTTAGCCTATGTACATAGATTTATTAATAACTGTAAAAATTCTAAAACTAAAATTACAGGTTCCTTAACTACCGCCGAGCTCAATAAAACTCTTAATTCATTAGTGTATATTTCCCAATTAGAGGCATTCCCTAAAGAATACGACTTATTATTAAAAGGAAATTCCCTAAGTCCTAAGTCGCACATTTCCGCACTTAATCCATTTTTACATGAAGGAGTGATAAGAGTAGGTGGTCAAATTCAGGCTTCTGAATATAGTTTCGATATGAAGCATCCCATGTTGTTAAGCTCTAAACACCATTTTACTCAACTTTTATTCCAACAAGAACACGTACGGCTTCTACATCTGGGGCCCCAAGCCTTACTGGCTTCTATTAGAACGCGTTTTGGCCCATTAGTGGAAGAAGTCTGGCTAGACGTACTGTGCATAATTGCACCGTATGTAGGCGTTTTAAGGGTCAGTCTATGAAAAACATAATGGGCAACCTACCTGCTCAAAGACTAATGCCCGACTTTCCTTTTATTACAGTAGGGACTGATTTCGCTGGGCCATTTATGGTCACGGATCGCAAAGGTCGTGGTTGTAAAATTACAAAATGTTATTTGTGTATTTTCATATGTTTTAGGTATAAGTGCATCCATTTGGAGGCTGTTAGTGAGCTGTCCAAGGATGCTTTTATATTAACTTTGAGACGCTTTGTTTCATGGAGAGGGCTACCAAAGCAGATATTCTGCGACAATGGTGGAAACTTTGTAGCTGCTTCAAAGGAACTTAAAGAGTTTTTTGAAGTTAATGCCAAAACTATCGCTAATTTTGCCGCTAACGAAGGCGTTGAATTTTGTTTTTCGCCTGCATACGCTCCTCACTTCAATGGTTTGATGGAGGCCGGTGTAAAGTCAGCCAAATTCCACCTGGCTAGGATATTAGGGACTACGCACCTAACCTATGAGGAATTGTCATCTTTGTTCACACAAATAGAATGTATCCTAAACAGCCGCCCCCTATGTCCATTAAGTTCCTCTCCCACGGACTATTATCCCTTAACTCCGGGCCACTTTTTAATTGGTAGACCACTAAGCTCGCTGCCATCTCCGTGTCTACAATCCGCTAATGCCAATCGTCTCGACAGATTCCAGCGCATCGAGCAGTTTAAGCAACACTTTTGGCGACGCTGGAGCCACGAGTACATTGCGGAGCTGCAGTTGAGGACGAAGTGGCGCACGAAGTCCAAAGAGAGCCTACAAATTGACGACCTAGTCCTCTTGAAAAAGGAAAACGCTCCACCGCTCTATTGGCGTCTCGGACGTGTAAGAAAACTCTTCCCGGGATCTGACGGATTGACACGCGTCGCAGATATAGACACTGCAAGAGGAATTGTGCGGCGCGCCCTAAACAGAATCGTCCTACTACCGAAGCCCGATGAGTTGGAAGATCTTGAAAGCTGTTAAGCTTTCCAGCGCCGGGAGTATGTCGGCGCCGTTACGACAGCACCGACGGTGTTTGCGGGGAGTATGTGAAGTGCGGGGGGTTTCTCACCACCGCGCCTAAGACCGGCACTTGCCGATAGCTCACGACCCGATCGCCACCAAATATTTTGTATTTTTCATTCCTTTTAAATATACAATTTGCCTATCGTGTGAGTCGCCTATTTTATTCATGTTCCCTAATTGAACAATGTGAGCAATCCCAGCGATGTACTAATGAATAATGGTGAGTCGTACCCATTTTATTATGACTCTGGGCCGAATGCCCTCTCATCAATGATTGTGTTGTGGCAAAAGAGTAAATAATATTGTAAATTTAACCGGAATCGGTCATGTTAGTATGCAAATACACCCATACAAGTACCCTACAAATACACCCATGATCATGTGAGCAAGATCCCCGATCACCAAGCTCCTCGAGAGTTAGACGTCATAGTTGATGACAGTGGTAGTGAGACCAAACTTGATTAAGAATAGCTTGTATACTCATACTCAAAACTTTAGACCGCACCTCATATGTTGTAGCATATTTGGCTTCGGATATGTAGAGAATCGTTGGTGCGATTCTGGCATATGTGGCGGCAGATATGTACAGAATGGTTGGTGCGATTCTGGCCTGTGTTGGTGCACAGAGCCCCCCATGTGTTGTTGCATATGTGGCGATGGATATGTGCAGAATCGTAGGTGCGATTCTGGCATATGTGACGCAGATATGTAAGGAATCGTTAAAATTGGAGCACTCCTTTGTGCCTCGGGCTGGAGTTTGCGTGCATGTCAGAGAGGATATCTGTTCTCTACGCCTCGGCAGTCTTGAAGGTTCGGACCTGTCCATCCTTTGGCTACGCGTAGACAGCGACGACCATCCGCGCGTCTACGGGTGCCTCTATAGGTCCCATACTCAGTTTCAAGGCACTCCCCTTCTTGCCTCAGCCAGTATCGGTATCGTCAGAGTCGACATATCGAGTGACGTGCAGTTTCGTGGTCACTTGGAAGAGAAGGCCAAATTGCCCTCTAAAAAGCTTGGCGTGCTCAGCAGAGCGGGACAGTATTTCATGCCGGCACACCGCCTGCAACTTTACAAGGCGCAGGTTCGGCCTCACATGGAAAACTGTTCCCATCTCTGGGCAGGGGCTCCCCAGTGAAAGCTCCTTCCACTTGACCGCATCCAGCGCAGAGCGGCTCAAATCGTCGACGACCGAGACCTTTCCGATCGGCTCGATTCATTGGCACTGCGAAGAGATGTTGCATCCCTTTGCATTTTCTTTCGCATCTACCATGGGGAGTGCTCTGAGGAATTGTTCGGATTAATCCCAGCCGCCATATTTCACGAACGCACATCGCGGCAGAACTTCCGATACCATCCACACCAACTGAATGATTGGCGGTTTACCACTGTGCGATTTAGAAGATGTTTTCTTCCTCGCACGACTTCCTTGTGGAATCGATTGCCATCAGCGATTTTTCCGGACCGATACGACTTAGGGACCTTCAAGAAAAGAGCGTACTCCTTTTTAAAAGGCCGGCAACGCATCTCCAATTCCTTCCCTGGTGTTGCAGTTGCTCATGGGCGGCGGTAGTCACTTACCATCAGGTGAGCCGCATGCTCGATTGCCCCCTCTCCTATTAAAAAAAAACTATAAGCGATTTTCTAGTAGTTTTAACAGATATTATGAATTAGAATATTGTTTATAGAATAGAATAGCTTATTAATTAATAGTTTTAAACAAAGTTGTAGGTACATTCAGCAATTATAGGTACTTTAAGATTGATGCAAAATCCTTTTAACACTTCACGTAATGCACAGACCAACAAACGTAGTGTGGGGACTATTTTTTACACAAAGTAAAATGCCACTGCATTTATTGTTGTAATTATTTCCAAAGCAGTCTATTAATAGTGGAACAGATAGGTGCGGTGTCAAGACTTTAATATGTTTTGTTTGAATCAGTAAAGGTGCAGTGTGTAAACTTTGTTTTAAAATATATTAACTGATTAGTTATCATACCCCAAATGACATTAAAGCCAAAATGACTAGGAAATATCATGCTTATCTATGTTATTACACACATAAATATGAACTAAGATGTTTTAAACTGGTTGTGTAAGGATAACAAAAACACATGTTTAATTTAATTGTAATATTTAATTTTAAATAAATTGTATTTTATGATGTTATTATTGTCAGTCATTATCATTTCAAAATTACTTGATAATAACATAACAAGGATATTTTTAATGTTATAAGATATGATATATAACTATTGTAGTTGTATTCAATATCCATATACTTTATTGTCTCTGCCTACGAACAAATCTGCAAGATTTTTATTCTATGCGATTCACGTGAAAAAAGTTAATAAATATAGTATATATTAGTTTTTCTATATTTATTGCTATCTAAATAGCATGTGAGGTCTATGTTTATGTTTGTATTGGTTTTCATTTCGATCACTATAAGGCAAAAGAAACACATCCACATATGATATTATTGTTAAAAATTATGACATTTTCAGTAATAAGAGATAAAATTATTATAAAATACACATTATTAATCAAGCTCAAGATGACCAAATACATAAGTAGTAGTTATGGATTTACATCAACAATATTTAACTATGTAAAAGTTGTCTGACTTCTTATTTTCACTGGCTTCATGTATGGGGACAGAATATTAATTTTATATTAACTATCTGATAGTAGATTACAAAATAATATCCCTTTTTGCAGAATTAACAACAAGGATATTACCATTACATGAGTAAAAATGGCTTAACTAAGTTATAATACTTATGCAAACTGTATTTTTTTTATAGGATAGGGTGCCAAACGAGCACACAGTCCACCTGATGGTAAGTGGTTACTGTGACCCATAGACATCTACATCTATCATCAATAAAGACTCAAGATGCAGATGCGTTGTCACCTGTGAGGACTAAGATGGAATGCTTCTTTGCCAGTAAAAAGGGTCTCCGGTTCTCTACACTCACCATACGAAACACAGCAGCGTTAAGCTGCTATTTTACGCTGGTTTTCTGTGAGAGCGTGGTCCTTCCCCGGTCGAGCCGACCCATTCGTGCTACAACTATACTACTAATATTGCTGCAGCATGGCTCTACCACGTATAAATGTATACTTGCTTCTAGTGCAAGTAATTACGACTTATTTAAACATAATTTTCTTTTAACAAACACAAAAACTTTTTTCATGTATTTATTCTATCTATTATTTAATTTAGATTTTACGAATAACATAAAACTTTAATACTTTGTCACTTTTAACAAGGTTCTAAGACCTGTTTTTGTCATTTTTTTAGGTAATTCATCATAAATTATAGATCTTATTTAGATTTTCTAAAATTCTAGATGTAAAAGTAAACTTTTGTATTACATACATACTAACTAAACTCATTAACCTGAATGATAGTCTCCATCTCATGTTAAACACTTGTGCATCGATGAGTCGATATTTATTTTATTGTCTTGTAAACAAACAAGTATAAACTTTTTTGCTATTAAATAATTTTGCTACCAAAAATTATTTTAACATATATTGTTACGAGCTTGGGATTCGAGATAATTAAAAACTGCCGAGTGAATTACCAAAATTGACTATATAATTAGACAACACTAATTACAACTTAAAATCACACTTATAATAAAACACAGTTCGCCGTTATGTCGTTTCGAAGTATTCTCTTGTATCGCCAATTCAATACTGCCCCGGTCGTGGTCTATACCAGCCTTATATAGGGCCTCAGATAGTTTCCAGAACCTTCTACTGTAGCGACATCTAGAATGTTCGAGTACATATCGGTCCCGAAATTTCTGGAAGGATCTCGACTCTCCTAGCTCTGCTACTCGACATTAGAGGGCGCTAGTATTACTAGTGTTGCCATGTACAAGACATTAATAGTGGCGCGCAACACTCGACACTAGAGGGCGCTAGTGTAACTAGTGTTGCCATGTACAAGACATTAATAGTGGCGCGCAACACTGCCCCCTCCTAAGACATGCTCGTCCCGAGCATTATTGGCCCCATAATAACGCACCAGTCGATCCACATGGACAATCTTAGGAGTACCTCTGGCACCTTTCTGTATCCGGTAGGTTACGTCATTGATCCTTGTCACAATACGGTACGGTCCGTCCCATTTAGCTTGAAGCTTAGGAGATTTCCCTTCTTGCGAACTGGATTGTGTAACCACACTAGTGAACCTTCATCAAACCCCTTGTTGTTCATTTTGCGGTCATACCGTGTTTTCATCTTCTCAGACGTTTGCTGGCCCGTCTGTCTGACGTGCTCATAAATGTCATTCATTTTGTTCCGCAAGTCATTAGCATAATCGGTTATACTGCGTGGGGCATCAGGTGGTATTCCGGTGATCAGGTCTGCAGGCAGCCGCAATTCTCTCCCAAAGTTTGCGAAAGCTGGTGTCACTGATGTACTTTCGTGAACAGCGCTTCGATATGACAACAAAAACGGCTGTATGTGCCTGTCCCAGTCTCGTTGCCGTTTTTCCACAACTTTTGCTAGGTTCTCCAATGTCTGATTAAATCTTTCTACCATTCCATCTGATTGTTGGTGGTATGAAGTTGTTCATGTTTTCTGAGTATCCAAAACTCGGCAAGTTTCCTGGAATATTTGTGACTCAAAATTCCTTCCTTGATCGCTGTGAATCTCTAAAGGTACTCCAAAACGACAGAAGACTTCATGAACTAGTTTATCTGCAACTGTTGAAGCTTCTTGATTTGGAATGGCAAAGACTTCTGGCCACTTAGTAAAGTAATCCATCAAAACTATGAAATACTTGTTACCACTTTCAGTTTCTGGAAACGGCCCTCTCCCATGGTGCACCAACATTGTTCAATTTCAATGCGCCTCTACTACGAATTTGAGGTCCCTTTACAGCCGCACAACTTGTACATTTCCTCGACATCGTCACGACAGTGAACCCAGTAAAACCATTCTCGGATCTTCAGGAGAGTTCGTTTAACTCCCAGGTGGCCTCCTAAACAACCACTATGGTACAGCTGTAGAACATCCGGCACTTTAGCCTTAGGGACAACCATTTGCAAATGACACCTGCCTCCCCGACCATTTTCCTATTTACGGCACAGGACTCCATTCTGAATCAGCAAGCTGTCCCATTGGGCCCAATAGTTTTTCATAGTCGAACTCATTACCGAGACGTCGCTCCACTTGGGCTTAGGAGCACTGGCCTTCATCCATTCCAGAATCGGCTTAATGTCCGAATCTTCCTGCTGTGCATGTTCTAGGCTGTCCGTCCATTCATTGCTGAGCTGGTCTGTCCTGCATATCTTCGCAGATACCACTTCTTTACCCTCTTGCCTAGTACAATGCTTGCAATCTTCAGGGCAAGGTCTTCTTGATAATGCATCTGCATTGCCATGAGATTTCCCGCTGCGATGTTCGATCACAAAGTCGTATTCTTGTAGTAGTTCAATCCATCTCGCAACTTGTCCTTCCGGATTTTTGAACTGCAATAGCCATTTCAGTGCGGCATGGTCAGTTCGTAAGTAGAATTTCCGCCCCAGGAGATATTTGCTAAAATGCTGCAAGGACTTTACCACAGCAAGCAATTCCCGTCTTGTGACACAATAGTTCCTTTCCGGCTTTGACAACGACTTGCTGAAGTACGCTATCACAATCTTTTGATCACCATTCCGTAGAGACAACACACCGCCAAGTCCTATATCACTTGCGTCTGTGTCAACTATGAATTCCTTGCCCGCATCAGAGTACCCCAAAATAGGTGTTTTGCACAGGCGGTTCTTTAGCTTTCTTGAGCTCCTGGAATGCAATATCGCAACTTTCATCCCAGCAGAAATGTCGCTTCTCCTCGGTTAGCTTGTGCAGAGGTTTGGCTATATCTGCAAAGTTCTTGACAAATCACCAATAATAAGAGCACAAACCCAAAAATGTTGTAACCTGTGTCTTGTCTTTTGGAACCGGCCACTCCTTGACAGCGGCAATTTTCTCTGGATCCGTGCGGATAACTTCTTCCGACACTACATACCCCAAAAAACTAACTTGCCGTTTGAATAGTGAGCACTTTTTTGGACTCAACTTGAGGTTGGCACTCTGGATCTTCATGAGAACGCGTTCCAGGTTTTGAAGTTGTTCCTCAAACGTACGGCCTACGATGATGATGTCATCCAAATAAACCAGACAGGCATCTCCAATTAGCCCGGTAAGTACAAGCTCCATCAACCTTTCAAACGTTGCTGAAGCATTGCACAATCCAAACGGCATGACTTTAAACTACCACAGACCCTTTCCTGTGGAGAATGCAGTTTTCTCCTTGTCCTTAGGGTCAATTTCAACCTGCCAGTAGCTACTTTTCAGGTCCAGCGTACTAAACCACTTTACGCCTGTAAGCATGTCCAGCGTGTCATCAATTCTTGGCAAGGGATAGCTGTCCTTCTTCGTAACGTCGTTCAGGCGGCGATAGTCAATACAAAACCGCATGCTGCCGTCCTTCTTCTTTACCAGCACCACAGGTGAACACCATGGACTAGATGAAGGTTCAATAACACCATCCTTCACCATTCCCTCAATCATGGTTTTCACTTCCTTTTCACGTGCTACAGGCAATCTTCTTGGCCGCTGACGAATAGGCAATTCTTGTACAGTGTTTATTTTGTGTTGAACTAAGCCAGTCTTTCCTATGTCAGTTTGTTTGACGGGAAAACATTGGCGTACTTGAGTAACAACTTCTTCGCCCTGACCATTTCATTCGGGGAGAGAACGCTACGACAGTCTTCTAAAAGTGTGGTCACTCTCGTTTGTCCATCCTTGCTGGGGTCCCAGTCGATAGATATTCGCACCGACGCAACCAATCCACTTCCTCACTAGTACCAACCAATGTGCCTTTTTCTATAATCTGTTCCTGATCACAAAGGTTCAACACACGTACTCCTAAGATGTCGGTGGTTCTGACCAAGGTTCGAGCCACTTTCCATGGAAGGCCATTGTCTACCCTTTCCACGAGTACACAACGATGAGCTTGCCCAGGACTCCGAGGAAGACTAACCGGCACAATCGTTTCCGATCTCGGCGGAAGAACAATCTTCTTAAGGCTGTACACATTCCCTGGTAACGCCCCTTCCACGAAAAGTTCCTCTTGTCCACATTTCAAAACACCTTGCTTAACGTCAATCTCACAACAATTCTTCCTCATAAAGTCTAGGCCCAGGATGCAGTCGTCCATTATATCAGCCACGATGACATTATGCAGGTAGATCATGTTACCTAGCTTCAACTCCATCTCCTTCTCTCCACGGACGGGTATGCGCTGACCGGTGGCTGTCACCAAATTAATGCGTTCGCGGTTGTATGCGGAGTCCCCAAGAAACTGATTTATAAGTTGGGAACTGACAACCGTGCGAGAGGCTCCAGTGTCTATGGTCAGTTTACACGGCTTTCCGTTGACCTCGCCCTTGATGATCAGGCTGTTTCCATCACGGGTTGGTGAGATCGAAATCCTTGGGGCTTTCACATCAGCCAGCACCCGCCAGTTTCCATGCTGCTGCTGGGCGGTGCTGTCAGCCACACTACTCTCCGGAGATCGATCACCTTCCCTTTCTAAAGTTCGTTAAGGGCAGCTGGATCGAAGATGGCCCCTTCCCCCATAGCCGCAGCACCTAGGGCTGTAACCCTTATTGCGGTCCTGAACTGCTGCAACCTTCCTGACGCGGTGGGAACGATGATCCTGCCGCACGGCTTCCACATCCAGTGCATGGGTCAAGGCGTCCTTAAGCATCTCGTGGTGCTCGAGCCTCACAGCAGCTCTGACTTCAAGGTCGCGGATGCCGTCGATGAAAGTTTGCACCAGGTTCCCTACAATGAGCGCAGGTACAGACTGGTACGCTTTTCGAACCAGTTTCTCCACCTCAAGGGCCCACTGCTGCAGGTTTTCGTTACTGCGTTGCACGCGATCTACGCAGCTCAAGCGCACGAAAGACATGTTCCAGGTGAGCGTCGCCATATCTCACCTCCAATGCCTCAAGGAGCTGCTCGTAAGTCACTTCCTTACCGAGAGCTTCCAGAACAGTTAAGGCCTGGTCGCGTAGGCCTAGGGTGAGAGCAGTCATGGCCTGACTTTTATTCCAGCCGTTCGCTTTCATGACAGCCTCGAACTGGATTTTGTAGGCCGACCAGGAAGAACTCCCGTCGAACGGTGGCACTTTGAATCCACGTAGCGAAGGTGTTGTAGCTACCACGGGAGCTGTAACTCCATCCCCAATTTTGAGGTCGTTCAGCGTTTTCTTCGCGTCAACCATCACTTTGTTAACCCGATTGTTCCCTTGGTCGATTCGGGTTTCAGCTTCCGACAGGCGGTTGTCATGTTGAGCAACCCTATCCTTCACCTCCTTTATCTCTTTTCCGAAGGTTGTATGAAGGTCCTTCATGAGAAGAAGCTGCTCTTCCAACCGACGGCCCTGTTCCTCCTGTTGGCGGGCCTGTTCCTCCTGTCCGCGCTTCAGCTGTTCTTCCAACTGACGGGCCTGTTCCTCCTGTTGGCCGGCCTGTTCCTCTTGTTGGCGGGCCTGTTCCTCCTGTCCGCGCTGCAGTTGCTCTTTCAACCGACGGGCCTGTTCATCCTGTCGGCGAGCCTGTTCCTGCAGCATCATCATCAGAGCACCTAAGTCAGGTGCTGCAGATGCAGGAGCAGCTGACGGGCCGGCGTCCGTGGTCAGCAGCTGGCCCTCTGACATTTGCAGCGTTGCAATACTAAATCATCTCTGGTCCGTCTCCAGCTAGTGTTGACTTCATGTACGGATACCCTCCATGTCGTCCTTTGGTAAAATAGGCATGATTTGGTCCTACTTCTGACACCAATTGTTACGAGCTTGGGGTTCGAGACAATTAAAAGCTGCCGATTGAATTACCAAAATTGACACTTTAATTACAGAACACTAATTATACCTAAAATCACACTAATAATAAAACACAGTTCGCCGTTATGTCGCTTCGAAGTATGCTCTTGTATCGCCAATTCAATACGGCCTTATATAGGGCCTCAGATAGTTTCCAGAACCTTCTATTGTAGTGACATCTAGAATGTTCGAGTATATATCGGTCCCGAAATTTCTGGAAGGATCTCGACTCTCCTAGTTCTGCTACTCGACACTAGAGGGCGCTAGTGTAACTAGTGTTGCCATGTACAAGACATTAATAGTTGCGCGCAACACTCGACACTAGAGGGCGCTAGTGTAACTAGTGTTGCCATGTACAAGGCATTAATAGTGGCGCGCAACAATATTAACAATTACAGTTAATCACAGACTATATTCTTACAGTTGTGATGCAACTCGAACTCTGTTTCCACTCCATGCCATAGAGTGAATTTGTGTGGCTCGGTACTCGAGTGAAAATAAATTTTACTCGAGTCCGCTTGCACTCGAGTTACCGAGTCAACTTGACACACCGTGTGGATTCGGAGAGCACTAGATAGATGTCAGTTCACTAATCCACTAATTCTATCATCTAATCAACTAACTCACATAGTATAAGGCGCCGCGGGTGACGTCACTGGTTACGTCAAAATTCAAACTTTCATCATCAACATGCCATGTTGTAAACAAATATGAACTTAGTTTGATTTATAATATCGTGATTGTGCTATCATTGTTGTTTATTTTTTGTTACTTCGTATAAGTTATTGACGTGGTAGAGCCATGCTGCAGCCATATTACTGGTATATTTGTAGCACGAACGGGTCGGCTCGACCGGGAAAGGACCACGCTCTCACAGAATACCAGCGTAAAATAGCGGCTTAATGCTGTTGTGTTTCGTATGGTGAGTATAGCGAACCGGAGACCCTTTTTACTGGAAAAGAGGCATTCCATCTTAGTCCTCACGGGTGACAACACATCTGCATTTTGATTCATAATCGAGGATAGATGCAGATGTCTAAGGGCCACAGCAACCACTTACCATCAGGTGAACTGTGTGCTCGTTTGTCACCCTAATCCTATAAAAAAAGTAGTGCATAACATGATGTGCAAAGGCGATTTAAACATACTTGTTTGTTTAAAGTATTAGTGATAACAGTAAAGTTTAAAGTAAATTTGCAACCTATTTACGTCCCACTGCTGGGCACAGGCCTCCTCTCATTTCTGAGAGGGTTTGAGGGCAAGGAAACGTTCGCCGCCCTGCCCCAATGCGTGTTGGCGAACTTCACATGTCTTCGAAATATTTTTTTCTTATTTCACAGACATGCAGGTTTCCTCACTATGTTTTCCTTCACCGCTGAGCACGTAGTAAATCAACACTTAAAATTGCAATTGACAATTTCATTGGTGCCGGCGAGGATCTAACCCGGGTTGCTTGAGTACTGTGAAGCTTACAGCGAGCGCTAACCATCTGAGCTACCACGGCTTCACTTAGTGATAACAATGACGCAACAAAACAAAAATCGTCAGTGTGACATTATTTAAAAAAAATCGAGATAGAAGCGATTTGTAATATATGTAAAAAGTAGTTTATAGATATTGAAATACTACAGATATGAAAAGAAGCATGGAAATACTACAAATAAATAAATATTTGTTTTTTATTTCACATTGCTACATTTTACATTTTTAATAAAAGTACCTATTTAAAAATGCTTTAACTAAAGTAATCGCTACTCTCAACTCGAGTGATAAACTTCAATCGATGCAGGGACTATAAATAGTCAGTTCTAATAGCTCAAAAACTCAAGTACAACTAGAGTGACATGATAAATTATTATTAACTCACGTTATTCGAGTCACAAAATTCTACTCGAGTCGCATCATTATCATACGGTCAATGTAGTGTCGAGAATTTA